TGTAGCCTCCTGCACGCCAAAAACATTTCTGTGAACTTAATGCTAGAACTACTGTTAAAAGAAACACAACAACAGAACGCAACTGCGTTGGGAGGGATTAAAAAAACCAAAAAAAATCCTCAACATAGTCGCGCCTGTCTCCAGTAAACAGGACTTTTTTCAGGCCTTGGGCTCAGACATATGGCCAAGCTACTGCGGGTGCATGACTGTCAGCTGGGCCAGTTTCACCGAGGCTTACGCACAGGCGTTCTGCCGGCCATTTGCCAGGGGCTGAGAGCCTGCACCAGCTGGGCGCGCACCGCCGCTCAGCCGGCACGCGGGCGCGTGTGCGACCCGTTTACCGCCTGACGCAGCAGTTTGCTCAGCAGCTCTCATCTACCCCGACGGGTCACACTTCAGGACTAGGACCCAAGCCATTTCACCCCCCCAAGGAACATCTCTGAGACACAGGAACCTGTTTCTAAATGAAGCGACGCTTATCTCATGCATGCCACAGGTGTGATGTCATCCCCTCTGGCAAAGGAACGAGGATGTCTACAGCCTCCGCTGTGCAAAAATGCAGGAACTAAAGTTAACATGTCTCAGACTTTGTTAAAAGTATGGTGATAATTAAGAAGTATAATTACCACTACAAAGTTAATTCCTCTTTGAGTTCTGACAAACAAGTTTTTAATTTGCACCAAAAATTTACATTTCAGATTTCAAGTCAACCACGGACGGCTACAAGCTTGGCAGGGGACCCAAGGCGGTGGCTGGCGGGTTCTGCCAGGCTCGGGGGCAGGAGCACCGCGGCTTCCCGGGAATGTCACAGGCGAACAGTCACCAGCAAACCCCGGGCGCACGCAGGTAAGCTGATCGGATTGCTTTAAACTGTCTCATCTGTTGTACAAGTGTGAAAATAATAGCCGTGTCAGATAAACTTCTGCTTTTTATTAAAAAAAAAAAAACACAACACAAACAAAAAATCCAACTTATAAGGTAATTGATTGCTTTCTTCTAGTCTTTTATTAGTTGTGATTAAGGAGATATAGTAGCCCTGTTTACACAGCTCTAACAAGTCAGGACCTGCAGTACGTTATTGGCTTGCGGCCCACAACTTGCAGTCCGTTCTCAACAGAATCAATCTGAAGTTGAAAACATCCCCTGTAGGAAGCGTACACATCCCTGCTTATACAGGAACAGAAAACAGTAATAACTTCAGGTCCTGTAAGTTGCAAGTTCAACTTACAGAGATCAGCCCTGACTTGTCATTGCTCTCAGCATGTTCGTGATGAGATCAGAGTGCTTCGCCGCGGACTCATACTTTCAACTTGACAAGGGACACAGGTGAGCGTGTTACACTTCACTGTGACTCGCGGCTCAGCCTCCGCAGAAACAAATCGAGGGCTCCTCACTGTTTAACATGCAGTCAAAGCACTGCCAATCTAAAATGGCTGATCAGTAATACTTTAATTGCAGTTTCATAGAAACAAATTGCTATTTAATTGCAATAAGCTCTTCTGTGGCTTAGCTGGACTGACAATAGGCATACGTACACCTGGTACTAAAAGTAACAAGCGGCAAGAATGGTTATCCGGTACGTCACCTACGGGAGGCGCAGGCAGCGAAATCGGACCTGGAACACGTAATGTCACACTGAAGAAATACAAGACTTAAAATATATATATACACATACATAAATGTTCCGATCTCCATTTTATTTGTTATTTTAATAGAGCTGTTCAGAACATAGATCCTTGCAAAAAGCCTCACACTTGACATATAACTACCAGCCAAAGAATTTGGTTAAAAAATTTAAATTTAAATGATCTTTGGAAATGCCTGACAGTACTTGATAGCAAGTCAAACTATGCCAGTATGTGATTTTCTTTTTTTTTTTTTTTTTTTTTTAGTATTTATCCTAAAATTAGATGATGCCAATTCTATCAGCACTAACTAAGAGGGGAAAAAGGGAGACAAACCCAGTGTGGTTAATATTCTAAAGAAGTGACTTAATTTCATAGGCTTCATTTTGGTAAGACATTCTCATTTTATATTTCATAAGATACTGCATAACCTGTTAAAATATTTAAAGATAAATCATGTAGGACTGAAAAGACAGTATCTTGTTGCAAACAGAATTTGGTTTGGAAAGGCTTAATGTCCCACTGCCTGCCAGGATGCGTAAATCTCGTAACTAGACAGCTGGATAGGTAAAAACATTAAACCCATTTAGAGGGCAATCTTTTTACAAAATTGTTTCATTAATAAGAGTGACAATTTATATGATTGAGACGTTTAGATGCAGTATAGACAGAGCATTTTATCCAGGTTCACGAGGATGATTTCAGATTAGTAATATTTCCTCTGATTTTTTTTTAACAGCATTCATTTTTGAAAGTGAGGGAAGCTCTTACTGAGTGATTATTTGTATGACTTTTCAGCAGCACTAAATGCAGAGGGTGTATTTCAGCCTCGGTGTAGCAAATGCATGTGATAAAAGGTGAACAAGTACACGTTTTTCCTTACCGATCTCCTAAAAAAGTGTTTTTTCACGTAAGGACAAATCTAAGTGTTTCCAGTAGCCTTCTATCCACACCTACCGTCCCCATTAGAGCCTGTTTTATTGTCTGAAATGCCTCTGGTTTCAAGAAAGTGTTTCACCTAAAGCAAGAATACTACTTAAATATGTTCTATTGTATATTCATAGCTCCATTAGTCCTCCTCCAATTTAGCACATCAAAGCAGAGGCTTCATCGCTTGCATGTGGATTATGCTAACATGAGTGACATTTGTAATCTTATAGGTCTGCAACTTAAGAAATGCTTTTAAAGTAAGCTATTAAATAGGTAGCTGTGCTTTACAAACGACTCATATAATAGTTTATTTAAAGCCGTTAATGAACTTCAACCTCTACATCACTAAATGCTATACTACATTGCTTGCCAGAAGTTATTAGCTATCTTCTTAGCACTTCTAGGTTATATTGGACAACCGAAAATCTGTACATGTTAGATTTAAACACTGTACCTTGAGTGCTTATACCGAAAGAATATAAAAAGATGTCTGCAGCCTCACTAATACTTGAATTCTATATTCATGTGACTTCAAGTGTCTTTTCAAAGGTATTAAAGCAGCACAATTTGCAGGACTCTACCTAAAGACTTTAATGCCAGATCAAAAAGCTTAGAAACTTATTTAAAAAAACATGTAAGGGCATTTAATTAAAAAAATCATACATAGCTTCATTTTATTGCTTTCTATGTTACGCAAGTAGTCTTTGTCTTTACTGTCTGACACTGTAACATTACGACAGTTTCTTTTCTCTGCGACAATCCTATTTTTCCTCAAGCATTGAAGTGTTAAAAGAAGAAATTCAGCAGACCGCCACCATACTGGAGGTCAAGAAGTAGAATCTGAAAAAAAAAAGTCTGCTGTTGGTTGTTTAGACAGACAAATCTATAAATCAGCTTTTTGTGTATCAGCATCACAACAAAAATAAGTCAAGCTCACTCCGTAACCAAACAGGCTGAACAGTGAACACCTTCTCAAAAACAGAATTAAAGAAGAGAACATAATGATGATGTATTTCAAATGAATTAGTCTCCTAGAAAAGTAGAGGAGTTGTTAATATTGATTTGTTATTAATTGCAGCAGCACATTCCTGGCGCTTGCAGTTCCCTGACGGAAGGCACACGATGCACAGCCATAGCTTGGTGCTAGCATTCTTGCTGCAAACACACAATGTCAGATTTTTTTTTTTTTTCCCCCCCCAAAATTATTCTGCGCAGCTCTACCACCCAGCAGCTGATGGGAAAACCCCTCTAAATGAAGTCGCTCCCTTTCTAAGCTCAGCGGTTGGTTGCGTTGGTTGGTTGCGTTCAGAGAACGGCTCCTATTTGAGATCAGTTAGTTCTGGGAAATAGCCTGGGAAACGGGGTTATTCTTTCCTTAAGATTAGCAGTGTTGAAAAGTTAGTCCCTTACCACAGCAAACACAACTTGGTGTTGTTCAGCTCAGAATAACTATTGTATTCCTTTTTATGAATCCCATATTCTAGTGCTCAGCATGAGGTACAGACCTTTTTGTTGGTTTTTATTTTATTATTCTTCGAGCTCTTATGGCATATACATACACTCTCGTGCTTGCACACTCAGACACATGCACACCCCTAACACAGACGGTTCTGCGGAAGGGAACTGGCTAGAGAGACCACAGTACCTACATGCCTACCGTAATTCACTGCAATTTGCTGTTACCAGAATTAAGAATCTCAATGAAAAATAAAGATCATTTTGAAGTAGTGCTCTGTATCCCTGCCCAAAGTAACAGGGTTAAGTAGTTTCACAGATTCCTTATTGGCATAAGATAAAAAACCCCCGTCCAAACCAAAAAGCTACTTTTAAAGGTAGGTGTATATATAATTAAGGTAATGACTATCTAAGAGAGAGTTTCAGAATAATGTTTTGAATGTAGGGGTTTTTTTAAAAAAGCGAAGCTTCTAACACCCATACTCAATTCACTGTTGTTTGTTTTACTTTTTTATTATTTAAATACACCATACTAGAGCAAATGTCTCTGAAAATATCACAAATAAAAGATTTTTCTTCATTCAGCAAATTAGAAGTAGGTGAAAATTTCTACACAGTAGCTGCTATGAGCCTGACTTTTTTTTTTCTTTTTCTTTTTTTTTTTTTTTGCCATGGGAAGTAGCAACATTAGGACAAAAACACTTACATGCATACATACATTGTATTTTACAGAGATACAATAAAAGTGTTTGTGATAGAGTATCACAAAAGCCACATCTTTATCTCATGTTCAGTTTGATTGAAACACATTTCCTTACAACACTTAAATATACAAAGAGCAAATAGAATGTTGTTAAGGTAAAACACAGGGTACAAACTGGCCAGTGCCCTGCTAATTGTTAATGAGGGTAGAAAGCAGATTTCAATGCTTCTTTTAATTAGCTTCATTAGTCATCTTCCCCACCCGCCCCCCCCCAAGATGTCCTCCGGTGGATCTTTTTTCATTTTCTCTACAGTCTCCCATTAGCCCAGGTTCATGGAGTCCTTAATGTTCATATTCAGTCATTTTAATACACCAATAAATGTGGGAAGGGCAATCAAGAATAAAGAAGGTGCAATGGTATGGAGCTGGCATTGATGCTAGCTACAAAGGTGACTTGTCTACTTGGAGACATGGGATCCATCTGTGATGAACAAAATTTGAGATGAAGGCACGCATTCTGCATTACTCTGACCTTTTAGCAGACCTGTAAGAAATAAAAATGGGTATCTTAGCTAGAATACTAAAGTTGAGATAGGAAACTACAACATGACTGCTTTTGTCTTTTCCTTATTCACTAATCTCTTTTTTATTAGATTACTTTCCAACTGTGACTTGATTAAGGCTTTCTACACTATCCATTCATACTGCTAACGTTTCAACTTCAAATAGCAAAAAGCAAACATTTTCCGCAGTTTCACTACTAAGAAGAGCAGACAGGGAGGAAAAAAAGGAAAAAAATAAAAAAAAAAAAAAAAGAAGAGACGACAGCAATAAAGAAGCGTACTTTCTGGTAACAAATCGCACAGTGAATAAGGTGGTTTTTCTGGGCCCCTTTTAAAAGGGAAGAAACATTATGCCATGCCTTTGAAGAAGCCAGTAATATGATCTTATAATTGGAAGAAATAGTGTGTAAAGCAAATAAGAAGTACAGCCAATATCCTCCCAAGGCAACTTTGGTTAATATGCTGCATTGCACAAGAGCTAAATATAGATATTTCAGGATTTTTCCCCCCCATTTAAAATTCCTCATCTGGTGTGTTAGTTAATGTTACATAAACATTTTAATATATGAAGTCAAACATGTGCTTTCACACTGGTGTTAATGAATTGTGATAATTAAAAGTGTCTCACTCAATAAAAATCTAAACTTTCATGGATAAAATAGAAATGATCATCCATAGTCTTCAAATACAATCTGTTTGCAATTACCAAAATGAAATAATATATATTAGATTTTTATGGTTTTTAAATGACATTTTGCGCTTCCCAGGAAGTTCTTTTTTCACCCTTTCTCTAAGTTACTAAAAGCCTGAGGTCTATTAGTAACTGCAACCCCCCACTTTCAAGCTAATTAAAGTAGTAGAGGCTTGGAGGTTTAATTCCCCAGAGCTGAAGCTCAGTGTGAGAAAGGTAATTTGTCTGTCCAGAACAAAGATTAGGGAGCAGCCAGCAAGCATATTTAATAAATGAGCATCAAATATCTTCTACTATGGACACAGACAACACCAATTATGTAACTACAAGGGAATTGTTGAGTGATATGTAAACTAGAAGATTTTTTAAGATCTTCTCTGAGAGACGTAATCTAACCCATACTTTTAAATAAAGTATAGAAGCTGAGGCCAAGCGTTTGCTATGAACACTGCCAACCGGTGGAAAATTTACACCTTTGGGAGGTGGTAATACCGTTGCAAAGAGGAAATACTACAGGAATACTACCACTACCGAAAAAGCGTCAGAGAATTCTTGACAATACAGCCCCTTCACGTGAAACGGCACGCAGGACGTCACGAACTAGGAGTCTGCATTCTGCAGGCAAGCAGGACTGAGTTTAGAGAAAACAGGTTTGGGTTTGTTTGGGGCTTTTTTTTTCCCCCCAAACTACATATCCAGTGATGGGAAGTTACCATTTACATGTGTGAACTGCCTCGGGGAGGCACAAGGCAGGATTAGCCAACATCACTGCATTTGCCTCCTTAAAAAGAAAATCAAGTTTTTAAACAAAGTTAGGTCATGCGACCCTTTCTGCCTGCACCCATCACCAGTAGGTATTAACCCGTCAACTACACTGAGACAACAGCGAGCTCCTAAACGTCGCCTTCACGTATGCAACAAAACCCTGTTTTAATGCTGGGAGTATGTCTCAATCTCTTCAGTTTAATAAAAAAGCCTGTGGAATAGTCTGCTATGTCTATAAGCTGTAGCGGTAGAACAACCTGGAGACTGATTGATCTTTAATGTTTAATAAAAAGTATCTGTTACAGCCAACTCTGTCATAGCAGAAGAACATTTGTAATTAGTGGCCCTGAAACGCGCAGCTTTCTGGAAAACATCTTGGATGTGAACATCTTCAGGCTGTTAAAAAGCCAACGTACAAAACACGACTCTTTTGGCACCTTCCCCTGCAGCTTCCAAAACTCCAGAAACCTGACAAGTCGATGAATTATCAACTCGTCTCCTCAGCTCTATTTCAGTTTTCTGGGGTCCAGGTGTTCCGCGGTTCCCCTTTGAAAACCAGTAGGAGAATTTATGCCATTTTTCTCAAGAAATGGTATTATAAAGGAAAGAAAAACCCCAAGCTATAATCTCTCCCCCCAGTCCTCTCCCCAGTACCTCTTCCTCTGCCTCATCCCTGCCTGTAGCCATGCAGGCCCAAATAAAAACCCGTTCTCGCTGTTTCCTCTGCCTTAGCTTCTACCAGGTGCCTACAGCCGCGAGCTCTGCAAGCCCAGTCCAATTTTACTTCTCTTTTCCATGTTCTATGTTCCTCATCATGTCTACTGCTTTTATTGCAACTAAATCATTTTTATGTTTTGCTAAGGCATAGTAAGAAACTGATAAAACTAAATGACAATTTAGACACCTATTTGAAGTTACATTAAACTTTACATTCGTAGAAGACAAGTGGATAAACCACTCTCTCAGCATGGTAAACCTTTTACTGTGGTGTATAAAGATGAATGGGTTTACCTGTATTTTGAAATGGGGTGCCTACAAATATTCACTTAACAGATTCACTGCTAGCTAGTCTCTATTACAGATTTGTTTCATTAAAATTCACAACAGTATAAATCTATGAATCTTTAACTGTATTTGTACTTCCTTGAGAAGAGGCTGCACATTCTTCTCCAATCTTAATTATCTTTGCTCTGCCTGACTACATAGGACTTTTGTACTCAACTCTCTCATCACCTCGATTGACAAATTAAGTAAATAAAAAAGGTCCATGTTTTATTTTGATGTAATTACATTCACTGCGTAAGGCTTGAAAGAATACTTAAAATTAATCAGTAAATTTATGCACAAGAAAAAAAAAGCAAACATGGATATTGAAATGTGGCAACACAACAAAAAAAAAATCATGGAAATTAAAAACCCGTTTGTGTTTTCTTGGACATGTTTCTCCACTAAGTAAAAGCACTAAAAAATATTCTGTACGTTACAGAATAGATCAGCCTAGCATTTGTCCCAGATTTTTTTAATCTTCCAAATTCCTATTTGCAGATAAATGTTATTTTTTGTGATCCTTACCGACATTAATGAAGTTCCTATTGTAAATCTATAAAGAATTACCAACTGAAGTGTGCACTTTTTGTTTCATTGCAATAACTCAGTGCTGTGTGATTGCCTGGGTTAATGATGAAAAAGTCAAATATACTATCAGAGCTGATGGAAAAATCTATCACCAATCTGAAATTAAAATTCATCTGTGGTCAATAAGATTTAATATCCATGCAAGTGGCGCTGTAAAGAGTAAATGAATCAATGTCATCAATACATAATCAGTATGAAATATGATGTGAATAAAATTATGTGCAAGAGTCATACATTCACTCTTTTCTGGACCAGGGTGGAATGAACAGTCTCTTAACTCAAGGTTGACAGTAATTGTTACAAATTAGGCACAGCAGTTATCAAAATGCACTCACTTGCATAGCTTTAGGACTTATTAAGGAGATTAAAATAGATCTAAAACTATCTAGTTTCAGAGTTACAGGACAACTGTTGATCAGGAATTTTTTTTTCTTCTTGTTCTTCTTCTCTGTATGATTTGTACAGTCATTATTTATTCATTTAGCTAGAAACCAAGAGCTATCAACCACAGAGATATACAATCTCTAGTTGAGCTATTAGTGTTATGGAGCGATAAGAAAATAGCACTTTGGTTTTTAAATCTGAGTTATGACATACAAAACAGGCAAGAAAATACTTCTGAAAGAGTACCCCAGCATGCTTCCTCAACTAGAACCTTAGTATTAAAGTGAAATACATCAGTTTAGTTCAGGAGCCTTCTCTTCACAAGACATTTATTTCCATATTAAAGGCTCTAATTTTCCTCCCACAGAAGCCTGCTCTCTCGTAGCCCTTAATTTCCGAGATTATAAAATAAAATACTTCTCTTTGTTAAGAGTTTGTATTAACGTACGCTCTCCATTTTGCTTGGTACATAAGGAGTTCAACAGCTGTACAGATGCACATGCCCAAACCAAAATAAACTGGCTCGCCCTATGGGTCATTCATAGTTAAAAGGTTAGTATTTTCTCCCCGTACCCTGTGCCTACGTTACTTAAGGTAAGTTCAGTTACTTAAAGGTCTCCTTGCAGGGGCGGGGAATGTCCGCTATTAGAATGAAAAGAAATTGATCTTCATTTAGCTCTAATAAAGCTTATTAGTAATTGTTGAGTATTCACCTTCTGGTCTGGCAGTAGTGGATTACTCTGAAGTGAATTCAAATGGCCATTGATGAGAGCTGTAGGTCTATCATGTTCACAAAATAAACTGCCATTGATGTAGTGAAACCGATCTCCGGGGACCAGGCGATTCCGGCAGGTAGAGCATGTAAAACACTGGAAAAGGAAAGAGACAGCAAGTGAAACTACAGCGCGAATTAAGTATGCTGCAGGTTTGAAAATTACACTTCAGAGACTGCAAGTGCAGTTGAGATATGGAGCTGCTTGGTTTCCAGCACCTCCAAATATGGCATCGGCCTTACCTGTGGGGACTGTGCAGTACATAACTCAAGTACAGTTTTTCCGATTACGAGGGAACAAAGCTACACGCTAAGGGAAGCTTTATAATATAGGCTCATATTTCTCGTTATTGCTTTGCATTTCATTCATAAGCAGATGCAGATTTTATACTAAAGAAGCACGGCGCTACTAATCAGCTCCTAAAAAAAAAATACAGAGCAGAAAAACCCCCTCACCTTAAGA